TCTTTCACTGAGTACAGCAGTTGCCGCATTGTGATTGATTGTACAGACATTGAAATTGCTGCACCTAAGCTCATGTCCCAGCAGAATGCTACATATTCCAGCTACAGGGGAATGAACTCTTTCAAAGTCATTATAGGGGTTGCCCCAAATGGAGTTATAACCTATGTTAGTGATCTTTTTCCTGGCTCAGTCAGTGACAAGGTCATGGTTAAAGAGTCTGGGTTTTGTAAACATTTGAGTGCTGGTGATCTTGTTCTGGCAGACAAAGGTTTTCTCATCAGCGATGTAGTTCCAAGAGGTGTTTCAGTGAACATACCACCATTTCTCAACAATGGAAAGTTTACAGAGAGTGAGGCAAGGGCGACAAAATCAATAGCTCGATGTCGCATCCACGTAGAGCGTGCAAATGCAAGACTTAAGAGTTTTCGCATCCTTGGCTTCATCCCAGCATTTTTGAGGTGCCATGCTGACAAGTGCAAAAGTTTTATTAAATGAAACCCTGTGCACGGGAGTTACTGAGCTCCCCTCTGGTTGGTTCGTTAACTACACGGGTGTTTAGCACGTACAATTTTTCTGATTAGCACGATTCCTTAGAACCACATTTTGTTCTAGTAAACGCAAGCGACAAAATTAACATATGAATTCTTTCATTTTTCCACTAAGACAAAATACAGCAGAACTCCTGGTCGACTTATCGCCCGAGTCTCAATTGATATATCGGTAGACACATCGACCGATATACCGATCGACTCTCGATCGATATAGCGGTCAATAAGATGACGTATCGGCCCAGCGAGAGTCGGTCGATATATCGGGTGATGTGCACATGATCCAGGGGTAGAGTTGGACAGATGTTAGAAGATGCTAGAGTAGGACTAAATATACAGAGTTTAACTTGTATGAACATTACATCCTGGTGTAATAGTCAAATGTCAGAGTAAATACAAGCATAAAGATTTGCGTTCATTTTTTTTTTAATGATGCCTTTCAGAGGGAATAAACTTAATCATATTTTTGTTACAAAAAATGTAGAGATTTTTATATCCATGATCCCAGAGAATACTTTCACCAATCGTTTCCAGTTTTGAAGCGTTTGTGTTGATATCAACTGAATTCAATATAGCTGCTTCACTAGAGGAAGTAAATTTATGAATTTGGCATTCATAAACACCATCACATTATGAAATTTTACCATAATTAAGTCTTTGTGTTGACTTGAGAATGACAACTCTCATGTCAATATACACCCAATGGTGCATTTGTATTTCTAAAAGGGTCCTCTAAAGGGTCTTAAAATCAAATTTGTTGTTTCGGTTATCAATCCCTGGCAGATGTTTTACTCTGGCAGGTTTTTTATTATTGCTCAGTGTTTTCTTCTCAATAAACGTGTTACTTTTTGTAGATGAGCTATTCCACCTCGCCGGGATGAGGAAGGTTCTACAAAGAAAACATTGTTTGAAATTAATCTAAATAAAGAGGAATACTTATCAAATGAGACCCAAAGTCAGTTTAGCAATAACTGTCATAGGACCACAGACTACTTCTTTAAGCACTAAAGCTAGAAACAAGCTCACAAATAAACTCAATGATTTTAAAGCGGAAAGTAAGATTACCACTTTCTTGAACACCGAAGTTAGTGGACAACTTAATTTTGAAGTTTTCAACTAGCAGTCACTGAAATCAACTTTTCCCAGAGCAATAAGAGTAGTAACCCTTCTTAGTATGTAAATACCTATGAGCTTCTCTAATAATAATAATAATAACTATATAATAATAATAATAATAATAATAATAATTTAATATTTATATTGCGCAAATCAACATGTGGATATGATCAAATGCGCATCACAACACTTTTCGGGGTACTTTAGCCGGACTGCACCAGCAGTTTACAAACAATCGAAGGAAACTTATTTGAAGATGCCCCCTCCCCCCAGTTCCCAGTAAACAGGCCAGACCACATCACAGTAAACTCGTGAGTGGGCTCTTTAACGTCCCCTACCTAACCAAATTAACTCATTAATAGATGCAGGAGACGGGACCTACGGTTTATTCGTCCTTATCCGAGAAGACTAGAATGTCTATCCATTTCTTGATATTATAGAAAGGTAGCGCATTGTCCTCAGTTATTTTAAGACCTGGAGTGTTGGTCCGGCCAGGGCTCGAACCATCGACCTCGACCTCCCGCACAACAATCCAGCGCTCTAACCAATTGAGCTAACCGGGAGGCGGTTTGATTTGGGGAGATCTTAGGATCTCTTATGGAAGATGTTTTGGAATTCATCTACACTGCAACTGTGGAAGTAACGCAGGAGAATGCCGAGGAATTGATCGCAGCTCAGCAAGAAATTATTTGATGCCATAACGAGCTTGAAAACTGTTTCTGGTCGAGTTTTGAAACGAAAAATGTCCTGAACCTTAACTGTATTTCAACCTTTTGCTTCGCAGAGAAGTACGATTGAGACGAGCCTATCAACGCCAGTACGCGTTTTATTAGCAAGAGCATCGTTTCCGTGGCAAAAATGGATGAATTTTTGCACTTGGAAGCTAAAGAGGTCGAGAGATGGATTTCGTCCGACGAGATTACAGTATAT